CATCAGAAAAAAATCTAATAGGAAGGTTGCATTGCCTCAAATTTTGACAGTTCATTTGGCTTAAAACATTCTATCTGCCTAAAGAGCCTAAATTTATATAAGATGTCGTCTCTTTATAAATTCAGCGTGCCGAGCAGTATGCCGTGATGTGTTTCGGCAGAGTGTGCATAGTTGATTACCCCTTGGAAAATATCCACGATCCCCTCATTTTATCTGTCACACTTTCATACACAGAGAAAAAAATTACCCTAAATTTAAGTTCTTTTTACTTAATTTTGGATAATTTTGAGTTTTGCATCCCACTCTCACATTTTTTTTTTGTTGTCAAAAACGAACCGAGAGATTCGATTTTCTCATGACTATCGTTCTGGGACGGGACTTGACAATCGGGTAGTGATTTCGAGCCAGTTTCTGATTGGTCGATTTGACAGTAACAATCGTGGACAGAGGGATCGCATCAATCTGGTTGGCACTGGCGTTGTTAATGTTGTTGTTTGTTTATGGTAGTTTTTATTGTTTTGATCAAAAATGATGTTCAAGCTGCTAGACTGCGGGAAAAACTCCGAATAAAATCCAAATTAAAATAGAAAAAAAAATTTACATTCTTGGCATCATTGGTCAGTTAAACACCACACACAACTTTCCGAAGGGCCTTTCTTAGATGGTTTTGATAGCAACCAATCAAAAACCGAGATGTGGCGCAGGGTAAACGCACTAAGGCTGAGTTCCATTTGATGAATTTTCACTTAAATTTGACAGATGGAAATTTTTTAAATAAACCAGACTTATTTCTGACAGACCAGGAATCAATTTTGACAAACACCTTCTCGAAAATAGGAAGATCAACAACAGAGGGATTTTCAAACATCCCAATTTATTTTCGAAGTGTCAAATTTACGTGAAAATTCACCAAATGGAACACAGTCTAAAGGCTGGCGCACAATAGATACGTTTTCGGGTTTTTTGACAGATAATGCATGGGCTAACTGTCAAAAAACCTGAAAACGTATCTATTGTGCGCCGGCCGTGTACCATTTGCCGAGTTAAATTTAACTCGTAGTTAAAAGTGACATTTCGAAAGTTATTTTCTATGTTCGAAAATCCCTGTGCTGTCGATCGACTGGTTCTCGACCCACGGTTGTCAAAATTTAACTTCTTGTCTGTCAGAAATAACCATGCTTGGATATCAGGGTTCATCGATAACTTTCCATCTGTCAAATTTTAACCAAAAGTTAAAATAATCCACCAAATGGTTCAGAGCCTAAGTGGCCGTAGAAGACGGAAAGGTATCGGAATCAAACATGATAACACCGTCTCCCGGGATGCTCTTTTTGTTGCCAATACTATAGGAAAATACTTCGCTGAAATATCATCATTCGCAACATACCAACACGGCTTCCTCGTTGCTCAAGAAAAAAACAAGAAATGTCGACCTGTTCATGTTCATGCCAGACGATTTCAACCATCGCGACTTCAACAGACCCTTCAGCCTTGCAGAACTTACCCATGGTAATACATGATGATACAGCTTTGTCACTATATTAGGCGAGGAGGTCGCGGGGGGGGGGGGGGGGGAGTGGGGTTTTAGAGCAAATTGTAAACAAAATCGGTCGCTGTCCCATACAAAAATCCAACATGGCTGAATCATGAATTTGACACATTAGAACACCTATATGTAGTCACCTTGAACTAACCTTTGCTCTTAATTCTACAAAAGGAAAGTCCGCAGGCCCCGATGATGTGAGTTATCATTTGCTAAAGCGACTTCCAATGCGAGTTAAAATCTCACTGCTTGATTACCACATAATAACCGACCAATTGCACTTACTAACTGTGCTTCAAAGGTTATGGAGCGCATGGTCAACTGACGACTTATCACCGAACTACAAGAGCACAATTGTTTAGACTCTCGACAATATGCTTTTCTCCTGTCGAATGCGACATCGCAACTTTGGATCTCTCGAAAGCATACAACCGATTTTGGCGTCCTGCTGTACTACAACAGCTTATAGACTAGGATATTGTAGGCAACATGGGCAAATTTGTCCAGGGTTTTCTGAAGGAGCGAGCATTGCAAGTCCTAATCGGTGACACTAAATCCAATACTATCAAAGAAGAGGTCGGAGTTCCACAAGGCTCAGTCCTTGCCGTCATCTTATTCTTGGTCGCCATGAACTCAGTATTTACGATTTTACCAAAGGACATCTATATTTTTGTCTACGCGGATGACATTGTAATTGTTGTGGTAGGTACAAACCCCAAAATTATTCGTCGAAAACTACAAACAGCTGTCCGAGCGATCTCCAAATGGGCGGACAGTACTGGATTCACAATTGCTGCCGAGAAATGCTCGATTTCACATTTCTGTAATTCGAAACACCACCCGTGGACCAATCCTGTAATTGTCGGTGAGAAAGAAATCTCATTCAAAAAACAGTTGCGAGTACTCGGGGTTACCTTCGACCAAAAGTGCAACTTCGATGCCCACCTCAATTTGGTTAATAAAGAAACTGAATGTAGAATCCGTCTGATAAAAGCGATTAGCGGTAGACACAAAACAAACAACAGAATATCTCTTCAGAACATCGGACGCAGTATAGTTACCAGCAAATTACTTTACGGTTTGGAAATTACTGTTCGGTCATCGGCAGTAATGATCCACTCTTTAAGCCTCGTGTATGATACGACTAACTTCCGGACTTTTTCCAAGATCGCCTACCTTGGCTACATGTGTAGAAGCTGGTGTCATTCCGTTTCAGTTCTTACTGACTTACTACAGCATCCAGCAGAGCCATCAACTATATTCAAAAGACATACGGGGAAACCAGAAACATTTTCATCCTTGAAAAAGCAAAAAACCTTGTTCAAGAGTACGCCAACATCGACTTCCCTCCGGTAGCAGAAGTCCACCGGGTTGGAGATCGGAAATGGAATAACATCGGTCCCAAAATCGATTGGTCGATCAAGCGAGCAGTTCGTGCTGGTGACTCCTCAGGAAGAACCGCCGCTGTAGTCAATCATCTACTAAGAACTAAGGAGTCAATTCTTCTAGGCCTAAATCCACTACATCGCTACTGTATCTGTCGCTTGGAATCAGGCAAAAGTTGCCAGTCTTCTTGATATGATGTCTTCGATATAAGGCAAATTTTCTACTAAATAAATAAATGTTTTCGTCAGTCTTCAATCGCCTGTCGATCTGTGAAGATCCGAATTCCTTCTAAGCCGGTGCCTTTATTAAGGTAGAACTTAGATTCACTGAAGTGACTAGATATCCGATTTAGAGATACATTCAATCCTCGGTCTTAATCACAAGTCTAAACCTTATGCTAAAGACACTCCTTTTCATCTTATTAAGATTCTGCTATTCGCTATTAAAATAGGCTCTCGATTTAGTAGAGTAACCATCTTAGCGTCTTATACATACAGTGTTTGATAAGATTGAGAATAAGGCATTCGCTGCACCAGTCCTGGCAGGGCAACGGCGCTTCATCTACAACCGTTTTGCGTGGTAGCTAAACCTCCGCGTAATATAACAAGTTTAGACCTCTGTTAGACCTCCTGAGCCATCCGTGCCAAATAGTGCTGGCTTTAGAATGAAAATTAGCATCCGTGTCCAACACCGTAAAAGCCACCGCCGAAAATGAATGACAATAACAGTAACTCGATTGTTTTTGTGATGTAAGGAGCTCGGTTGAACAGCGACCGGTTTTGCTTACTGAGCAGAAGATCATGTGTTCAATCCCAAGCTCCTGCGTATTAAACAGTTCTAAGTGTTGCGATGCAAACAAACGATCACATCACTTGCCATGGTGAAATCCTTCCCATGACAACCGTGGAGAAGCAGAGATAAACTCGGACTCTAGTAACAACGCTGGTCGAACTAACATTCCTTCCCTTCCTCAATGACCACAAGGAAGTGGCCGGTACTATTATTGACAGAATAAAGAAATGAGTTTTCAAAACTTGTGTTCATTGTGCAAATTTGCTAGCTTTGTCAATCACTATGAGCGACAATTCAAGCTCAAACTTATAACTCATGAACCAAGCATCGTAGAAAGAACATAGTATAGTATAGTGAAATGATAAGGAAATTATCAGCAATCCATAAACAAGATAATCTGAAAAATGTTTTCCACGACAATTTCACGATGACAATATCGTAAGAAAAATTAGGAAAAACTGGCTTTGAAAGTTCGTTTGGCTCAAAACCTAAGAGGAAGAGGAGACAATACGGGGGTGAAAACGAACCACTTTTCAGTCAAACGCGAACCAGCTCGTGATTGGCCGATTTGAAGTGCGTAAGATAGAGATAGAGATAAATATAAAAGAGTAAGAAGCCAGTTGTCTCCTCTTCTTCTTAGTTCAAAACCAGCCAGTCCGCTGCTATCCTATACTAGACCGTCTCTAGGAAAAACCATTGTCAGGGTAATGAACATTGTCCTAATGTTTTTTTATGCTTCAATAAATACTTCTTTGCTTTCACTAGATTGAGCTTTTATTTGCGAGAAAACGGCGGTTGACGTGTTTGTTTACAACTGCAATTACGCCCAAATTTCAAATCACTCCGGAGGTGAGCTCCGATTCACGAAAAAGGGCCACAACAGGCTTTGTTTCCTGAATTATGTTAGTTGAACATGGATGCTGAACAATCATCATTAAATTTACATCGCATTTAGATCATATTTGACCTCAATAATAAACATTTCGAAGCGTCCGTATTTCTGGACTAAGTGTCCGGATTACTGTGCCTTACGGTACCTACGTATATATTTCGCAAGCCATCCAAGCAGCGACTGGAAAGTTGGAAACATTATTACCGAATCAGTCTAGCTCTAGAATCACGCAATCAGATCACAAGCTAAAAATACCCAAATCAATGAATGAAAGCACTGACGCACCATCATCATTCAATCCCTTAAATACAACATCGACATCATCTAGCACACAAAAGCATAATAATAATAAAAAGTAAAAAGAAAAAAAACAAAAAAGCAACCAACCTCTTCGCGCTAAACTCGCTCGTGTCCTCATCGAGACTGATGATCTGCACTTTGTTGTTATACTCCTCGACGAAACTGCCGAGCGCCAGCCGGAAACGCTTATCCGGCCTCACCGACCAGTTCATCGAGTACAGTGGCCACGGGGCCAGATATTTATAGATTTCCTTGCGTTTTCCCGTCGTTCCGGACATCCTGCGATCTCTGAAGCCTACGATTCCACCGGGAGATCTGTGGCGTCTGAGCCTACTGCTGCTATCGTCGTCGTGCCGCCGCGGTCCACTCGGTGCCTGACTCGTCGGAATATCCGGCTGGCTCCTAGAAAGATGAATGATTTTTCTCAGATTTTCCATCCTAAGCTTTTTCCCTCGCTCGAGAACGTAATGCTATCAAACTGCAGTCGGGCAAATGACTGAAATCGATTCGGAAACTCGTATCGGAGCCAATTAAATCATACTCACCCGCGTACTATTTATATCCGGGGGAGTCTCTCGTTCCTGTCCTGCTTTCGCGTGCCGTCGTGGTGTTTGTGTGCGGCGTAGAAAACAAAACAACGAACAATCTCAAAAGATTTGTCTCGTTTGATAGCGAGCACCCACGAAGAAAGGAAACGTAGAAAGTGTCACGACGATGACGGCAATCTCACACAGTTTCGGTTTTCTGCTGTGTTATTTTGACCTATCGTGTGATTTTCCCGGCTCGTTGTCACTCTTTCTTTATTTTGTCACGAACAGTCACAGCGTGCAGTCAAGCACTACAAAAGAAACAAGAAAGCGAAACACACCAGTACAACAGTGTTCATTTTTATTCTTGAACCTGTCGCCAGACGGAATCACCAGTTTGACTCACCTCGGGCCGCTTCCTCCTGCTGATCTGTCTGACGGACGTGACTTCCCCTCTCCCAGCAAAATGCAGAGCTAAATTTTACCAGGTTTACAGCACTGCTTCCTTTCTTCCGCGGTCACTTGTTGGTAGGTCCATAAGCATTCTTTTCGACTTGATTGTTTGAGGTCACGTACGGACACCGGTCCTTCCGAGAATCTACACAAAATTATGTTTTTGTTTTCAAGGATTATCTTTTCTTGCGATAAAAACGCATCCACTCTGCTTTCAGCAAAATCCCTTCACAGCCGTCAAACTCTCAAAAGCGGAGATTGAAAGAAAAGGGAGAAGAGAGCGAAAATGTGGATAGGGTTGGCAGCTTTAGTGGGCGAAAATATGTCGCGACAAGGTGTTTAAAAACTGCGGTGTGATCGAAGTTTCAAAAATGCTGTTATAAAGCCTGGTACGCAGCTGACAAGAAAACGGAAAAGTAATTTTTGAGGAATATTCCCAAAAGTAAATTTGACAGCTATATAGGGAGGTGTCTTTTGCTAAATTTTGAGATTATAGGTGGTGTCGTTTAATTTAAAAATCAACAATTCAGGAGAACTTCGAGATTACACAACAAAAAAATGTAATATCGATCAATGTAATTCAAGCTGATGTATGAAATAATGATGTAATAGCAAAAAGCAGATACAATATTACATCAATGGATGTAATTTTGTTCGCAAAATCGATGTACATCGCACAACGTTATATCAGGCATAACATTTGATAACGGCACAAAAGCATTTGTAAACAAACTTTCTAAGGTCCTTTACACGCGAACCAAAGTACGCCAACGCAAACCAATACCACTTTCGGAAAGGTGATAGTTGCCTCAGCAGCAGTAGTTTGGATGGAATATTCAACAACTTTTTTTCTGTGTAGGGCGTAATTGCTTTTGTAAACAAATACGTCATGTGTCAATTTCTAGCAAATAAAAGCTCAATCTCAAAAACTAACAACATCAGCGGGTAGAGGCATGGTTCCTCTATCATTCGGTTTGTGAGATTGTTCTTTTATTCGAGAGAAATCGGCGATTTAAGGTTTTTGTACACAAAAGCAATTACATCCAAATCTCAAAGCCCTCCGGAATTATCAGTTTTTATGTTGTTAAAATGCTTCCAAACATTCGGCAGCCATTACTCGTATTCATCGGACGTGTGCTCTTTCTAACTCTGCTTAACTTGGTGAAATATTGTAGCGAAAATGAGTGTAGTTCGTAAAAACACACTTGTTGTTGACTTCAGTGTCCTTCCAGTTCGTCCCAATGCAGGAAAAGTGCAAAAATTCTTCGAGAACAATATTAAGCATCAATATTCGGACGTAAGATGCATTCAGTTTCATAACGTCCGAAATTGTGTTTTTATTGAGATGATATAGACAATGAAGTTGCCTTGCGCTATGAAAAGGCGCATAACTATAAACACGCGATTCTCTGTGCGAAGAGTGCGTTCAAAATCCCGGTATATGTGGATTGTGAAGCAGTGACCGTTCGAGTGCACGACCTTCCTCTGGCATGGCCACAAGCCACTGTTACGAACCACATGGCAAAGTACGGAACAGTGATTTCTAGTCGACATGAGAAATGAAAGCACTACTTCCCAGGATTCCTGAGCGGTGTTCGAGTTTTGCGAATGTGACACGAAAGCGCCATTCCATCGTCGACAACGAAACAACGTTCGTAGCGTATGACAAGCAACCAAAAACGTGCCGTCATTGTGGCCGAGCAGCACATCCCAAACAGAAAGGTGTGCGTGAAGCCACAACAGTCTTTGTTGAAAAATAATTTTATATCCGCGAAAAACTGAAATATTTCCAAAAGCTACTAACTGATCAAGTGTATAAAGCGTTTCAAGAATATCTACACGACTCAAGATCCTGGACAATAACTTTGACTATATGTTTTAGTATTACTTCTACGTGAAGTCAACGATTTACATAGTTGAAGATGCTAATTTCAAATAACAGACTGTAGTGGTAATTTTTATACGATAGATGGAGTAGATGAAAGCATAGAGTTGATAGTTCCGTTAGAGTACGGCAGTGTGAAGATTGCATATAGATATTAGAATAGAGAGCTAGGACAACTTTTAAGGAAGGTACAAATCGGTTTTTTCATCTCTCTTTACCAAACTCCCCCTTTGGAGAGATGTGTGGATGCTTTCCTTCGAATAACAACTGAAGTGCGGTAAAAAATCGGTAGAACTCTTTCAAAAACACTCAGTTGGTACTTGAGCGGGTCGTTTTTCATCTCTTTTTGCCAGTGGTGGCGGGGGGGGGGGGACACCCCTCACCCTCCCTCTCCAAAGGGGGAGTTTGGTAAAGAGAGATGAAAAAACCGATTTGTACCTTCCTTAAAAGTTGTCCTACTGTTCACACTGCCGTACTCTAACGGAACTATCAACTCTATGCTTTCATCTACTCCATCTATCGTATAAAAATTACCACTACAGTCCAGGCTACAGTCTGTTATTTGAAATTAGCATCTTCAACTATGCTGGACAATAAACTCACTCTGAATCAAGATGCAATCGATGTCCAACCAAGCAGCAACAAATGTATAACATCAGCGCATGAAGATTCTCAAAATAAGGATACAGAAGAAGTTCTGTCCCGTGGTGGTCATGACATCATCACATTGTGAATAAGAAACCAAAAGATTATATGGCTCCGATTAGGCCAGAGGAATTAAGCAGACCGGTCAGAAGGAGTATACAAATGAAAGCAAAGAGGAAGAGGATGAATATGCCAAGGTTTGGAGCGAGGTTTGGAGGTGTTTCGTGCGGAACCAATTCTGAGTTGTAAATGGCCGTGAAGGCAAGCAAGGAAGGATTTCGGAAACACCCAGGTCCAGCTCTTGTGAAGGAAGTCGGTGATTGTGGGCAGCATATGGAGGATATCGGAGCTCAGCTTCCTCTCACGAAAAAACATCATCCCAAGCTGGAATTGCGATGTTCAAGCAGTTCACTGCAGCAGAATTTCCACTAATTAACAAACAAATTTTCACCATCCAGATGGCATCCATCTCATAAAATGCCGTACTCTAACGGAACTATCAACTCTATACTTTCATCTCCTCATCTATCGTATACAAATTACCACTTTAGTCTGTTATTTGAAATTAGCATCTTCAACTAAATGAATTCATACCATATGTTGATCATCTTATGCGAAATCACCCGATTACTGTATTTATTTAATCCAGGGTCTGCAAGGTTCTTGCAATTCGCGTTTCGGCAAAAAAAAAATTGCAATATTTCTATTATAGCTTATTTTATGGTTCCACCCTAATCAATATAAAGTGCATACAAGTTCAGCCTGCTGTACACTGTTTGCATCTATGCAATTTATTCAGGTCCGCTAGCAACATCAGGCGAAAACCTTTGTCAAATGCCAGCAAATCGAACGCGCCTGGCATCACTGACTAGTTGATTTTTCCTGAGCCTCGATCATCTTGTACATTCCCTGCCATTGAGTCGCGAAGAAGCGGAATTTCGTGTGCTAAAAGAGAGTGATTATTCTTCGAATGGCATCGAGAAAAAGTTCAAAAATGCCTTGCATGTGCCTATAAAGTCGTGGCAAGTGGAACGACAATCGATTTTATTTGTGAATAATGGTGCACAATTTGTACACTCGGGTGAAATTTTGCATCGAATCGAAGTGAAAAAGTGCCTCAAAGTTTTTCCTTGTGCCCCCCCCCCTCCCTTCGTCTGAATATAGAAGAAAAAATTGGAGTGTTTCACACACACCCCGCTCACCCATCATCAGTCAGTCAGTCGAAGAAGAGTGTAGTGCGCCTCTTCTCACGCCATACACATTTCCCCTCTTTTTTCCTTGTGGTGCTGTATCGTCATCATCATCATCGTCATTAGTGGCAGCAGCACCGTGTATCATCGGAACACAGTGTTTGGAATAACAACAACAGCAGCACCAAAAGTGAACCGACTGAAGCCTACACAGCTAGCTAGACTGCAAGCCAGCCAGCCAGCAGAAAGCAAAGAAGCACGGAGGAGGACGGGAACGACGGAAGGTGTATTTCGACCGGGACGAAAACGAGGAGCGCAGCGCAGAGTGAGTAGTTGTGGCATTTTTTTTTTTTACTTTTCTCTGTCTTTTCCTTGTGTATCGAAAGGGATGCCAGGTGTTATTGGGGAATATTTTTACACTGGTTTTTTTTCGGAGGGCAATGAATGATGGTCATGAAGATGTCAAGGCAGCCCCATTTGTTGAACTGCTATTAGGGCAGTTTTGGCAATGAACAGTAAGGTAAAGCTGTTTCACTGGGAGACTTGCTCTTTCAGGGTTAAGATCTATATTGCTGTTTTTTTTTTTATATATATAAATTTACGTTAAGTTTGTAAAAGGACCCTAATTTTTCAATAGCAAAAACCAGGTGTGCGAGAAACAAGCAAAAAGTCATACTGTCAAGGCAGTGCCTTTCTTCTTGATAAGGAGTTATTCATAAACTACGTAGTCCGTTTTTGGGAGGCTTTATATTCCTCTCTGCCCGCGTAGACAATCTTCCATACTATTTTCTGGAAATGTGTATGGACCGTTGACAGTGGCGGGTCCATGCGACGTACAAAGAGGACACAGTTAAAAATTGTGTTTTATATTAAATTAGCAATACTAAATCGTCCGGCATTTCAAATATTTTCTTTGTTTTGAATCTTAAAACATCTCATGTTCCAGAATCTTAGAAAAACAATCATTCCGGGATCTTGAAAATAATGTTGATTTCGATTTATTATTGCCTATACATTCCGAATAAATAAGATTCCGAGTCTTCTGATTATTCTTTAATTTCCATATTTAGAATAATTCTAGATAGAGCTGGAATTAGGGCGCATCAGCTTTTGTAAACAATGACTTCTCTATTTGATTTCTTTGAATTCAATGCAGGCCTGCACAAACCAACATATCCATCGGGTAGGAGAATTCTTCCCCTACTCGATGGTGATTTCGATTTGCCAGGGAGAGCCACGAATTTTGAGAAATCATCGAGAGAAGTCATTGTTCACAAAAGCTGTTACGCCCTAATTCCAGCTCTATCTAGAATTATTCATTCGATTCAAAGTCTTCTGATTGTTCTTAAATTTTCATACTCAGAAGAATTATTCTTCTAAGTATGAAAATTTAAGAACAATCAGAAGATTCGGAATGCGTCGTTAAGCACTTTATATGGTTATTTTCTATTAGGGCAATATTATATGAGTGTTTGGTAGGGTCATGTGAAACCATACGTCCTACGGAATTGGAAACAGGCTGTTTTTGCATGTCGCTTTGATAACCGTTCGTGACCATAACGTTTGAAATTGCCGACAGTTCTTGGTTTATGTATTTCACGAGGATTTATCTGGTTTGGGGCTTCTGATAAACACAGTCTGTACAGATTATTATCTAAACTATGCATATAGGATGTTGGCACATAATGCTCGTGTGTTCCTGGATGTTAAAACTTTCTGTTCCGGTAGAGCGGTTATCTCAGGCGTGTTACCGTGACAATTCTGCGGAAGAATTTTATAACTCCGCCTAATAAAGTAGGTAGTATGTACATTTAATGTTTATCTTCATCATGCAGTGGCGATACAACACAATATTTATCTTCTATAGTGTAATACATTTTTGGAAGGAAAACTATTCGTTTCATAACATCACAAATTATTTGTGTTAATTATATTTTGTTGCTTTCGCCCTGCGATAAAAAAAAAAGTATAATTTAATTGACTTTATTTAGCGCATTTTTTAACATGGAAGTTGTAGAACAGGTAGAACTTTGAGTGACGAGACGCCTCAGATGTTAAGGGTTTTATATCATGGGAATTTCAAGAACTTCTAAAAATTGCAAAACACTAACTAAGTTGATTAGAGAAGACCAACAAAGTTATATTAATTAAAAAAAAAACGAGAACTTTTAGCAAGCACCGATATCTTCAAGAAATTCCAGAGAAGTTCTAAGAAATTTAGGTATTTTTAGATACTTTCATAATATTCAGCGAAGTTCCGAGTACTTTGAGGACGATCAAATAACTTCAGAACAATCCCATTAATAAAACAGCAAAAAAAAGGTTATCTTCCAATTAATTCCACTTAATTAAGTTTGGTATCCATGACAGATACGTATTTCGACTACAATGTATTAAGCATTCCGCTAACAACCCAATTTGGGGCCTCCCTCATCTCAGTCGGTAAAGGCTGCAAAGCAAGACCATGCAGGAGGTGGCTGGGTTCAATTCCTGGTCCGGTTTAGAAATTTTTCGGGTTGGAAAATTTCCCGACTTCCCTGGGCATAGAAGTATGATTGGACTTGCTTGCCACACAATTATACCAATGCAAAAATGGTACAGGCATCGAATGCTCTCAATTAATAACTGTGGAAGTGCATCTAGAACACTAAGTTGAGAGCACGCAATAAGCTAATATGCGATATGCAATAAGCTTGAAATGCGAATAAGAAGAAGAAGAAGAAGTAACAACCCAATTTCATTAATTCAATCCCATTAACTTAATGGAATTTACAGCGACTTACAAGGAGTTCCGTGGAATTATGGGGTATTCCGAAAATTGTATGATTGGTCCGAAAATTTCAGGACCGTCATGGAATTATGAATTTACATAAGAAAATTTGCCGGAATATTAAACAAATTTAGATACACACTTAGATTATTTCACCGAAATCTGTGAAATTTTACCGAAATCTCAACAGCTGAAGTAATTTAAGGCAAAGTTCCATGAGCGTTTATAATCTTTATAAAACTTATGGAAAATTGTAGAAACTTCAAGGCAATTCAAATAAATTCAGTAAACTTGTGGATTCTAATAAAACATGCTGAAAAATTCAAGGCAGTCTAGAGAATTTGTAGGAAATTTAGAAATCTTTTGGGCAGTTTTAATAGCATCAGGGAAAGTCTAGACTTTTGATGAGGTTATGAATTAGTGTCGATAATTCAAGGGCAGTTCCATGAACTTCTGAAAAATCTTGAGAACTTCAGTGGAAATCGTAGAACTATATTAATTACTAGCTGAGTGTGCCCGGCCTTGCTCGGGAGTCAATATTAGCTTGAGTTTATGCGCCAATTGAGAAAAAAAAGCTATATTGTACGTAGCCCCCCCCCCCCTTATCTAAGAGGCTACTCCCTATGACCTCCACATGCCAAATTTGGTTCCATTTGCTTGATTAGTTCTCGAGTTATGCAGAAATTTCGGTTTCATTTGTATGGAAGCCCCCCCCCTTTGTCTCGAACCATCATAAGAACCTTTCCCTGTACCAAAAACCCCTGCATACAAATGTTCACGCCGATCGGTTCAGTAGTTTCCGAGTCTATAAGGGTCAGACAGACAGACAGAAATTCATTTTTATATATATAAAAGATATATAGATTTTGTTTTGAATCCTAGAAAATTGCGTTACAGAAATTTGGCAAAAATTCTAAAACTTCATAGAAGTGCAGAGATCTTCAGAAACATATCGAGAACTTCATGGTAGTCTGTGGAACTTAAGGGAAGATCCGAGAACTTCAGGAACTGTCATGAACATTAGCAAAATGCGCGAGCATTTCAAAGAAGTTTAGTAAGCTCCAAAAATAGGGAGAGTTCAGTTGCATTTGTTTCAGAAAATCAGCGGAAAATTTTAGGAAGTTCCCAGATTTTCAGAGAACTCCAGAGATGTTAAGAAAATTATTGAGATCTTTACATGCGTTCAGTCAGAAGTTCACGGAAGCTTAACAAATTTAGGAACAGGTCAATTAAATTCAGGACAGTACAACAAGCTACATAAAAACTGCAAAAACTTTAGGGAAGTTTCGATAATTTCAGGAAAGAAGAGAGAACCTCATAGCAGAGAGAAAAATTAGATACATTTTAAACAAGTCTCGAGAACTTCAGCGAATGGTTAAAACTTTGGAGAAGATCCATGGTCGTTAGGAAACTTTAGGAAGTCCGACAATGTTCAGGGAAGTTTAAAATTTTGATGAGAAGTATTGTGAGCATCAGGCTAGTTTTTCAAACTAAAAAAGAACTTCAAGGCAGTTTCATTAACTCCAGGAAAATGTTAGGAACTTTCAAGTAGTTCTGAAGACCTCAGAATAGTCCATTCCATATTCAACGAAGATTTATCATGAAAATTCACTTGGAGTTCCTCAGTAGCGCGCTCTCCAAAAACTCTCGTAGAATAAGTCTAGAATTTTACTTGGAACGCTTCTCTGAATTCTCTTAAAAATTTTATCTTCTTAGAATCTCGCAATTCCATTGAAATATTCCTCAAAATTACGTTGAAACTACCCTCCGGATTAAATTTTCTTTAAATTTTCCTCGGAATTACCTTGAAATTTCCCTCATTAAGAAACCTTTTGGAAAGATTCTCAGAATTTTCATTGAATTCATTTCAGATTTCCTTTTGAATCTCACTCCTTCCATTAGAATTCTACGCACATTGAAAGTCTAAGCATTTCTCCTCACAAATTCTTTAGATGTCTCCTAATACTTTGTTTGGCAAACTCCCCTGGAATTCTTTTCCGAACTCCTTCGAAGATCTCCTGCAGTTGTTAGGGTAAGGTGGGGCAAGATGGGTCAGCTAGTACATTTGTTAATTTATTTGATTGTTAAAATCATCAGCATTGGAATTACATTAACCCTGTCGATGTTGACAATCAATCTTGTCCCACCTTTACCCTATCAGATTCAATTGTAATCCTCCTTTTAGTATCCCTCTCACCCCCTCCCCCCCCCCCCCCCCCTAAGTATACGCCAAAAATGTCCAAGGACTTATGCTTCGGATTTGGTTTCTCAGAATGCCCTAGTAATTTTACTCTGAAGTTCACAGGAGTTCTGCTCCTCAGTTTTCCTTAAATTTTACATTGAATTCAATTCAGAGTTTTCTTCAAATTCAACTCAAAACCATCTCAGGCTTCACATGAATTCTAAAATTCATCAGAACTACCTTAAAAGCAGATTGAACTGTTCTTCTCAAAGATTTTTTTTTCCCGGAACACCCTTGGAATAAAATTCTTGAAGTATTATAACTTAAGTCGTGAATTTAAGAAAAAAAACTTGATCAAATTTGAAATTTGAGAAAAATAGGCATAATCCAGTTCCAAAAAAAGTTTCTGAATTTTTAAAATGTATTTGTTACTGAACATGTTGATGATTGTTGCTTGAACAAAGGTTTATTTTAGACTAAAGAAAATTTGCTAGATTACATAGTTATATAAGCTCTTTTGTAAGTCAATTGCTACTACGATTTCATTCTTCTTCACCCTCTCAGTTGCTTATTTCTAATCCTAATTTATTGTGTAGATTCAGGAACGATTGAGCTGCCAGAGATTTTGTCAGCACGCCCGCTTCTTGTTGTTGTGTTGGAACGTAGACCAACTGGATTCGATCCGTAGCTACAGCATCACGGATGAAATGGTACTTTACATCTATGTGCTTGCCCTCTTCGTCTCTTCATTCTATGCCATCGCTATGGCCCCTTGGTTATTCTCGAATATTGGAACAGGATACAACAACTTGAATTGCGCCCCCTATCACCTGAGCCATATGGATTCACTGCTGCAGCTGATCATGGCGATATATGCAGCTTCAGTAGATGACCACGCCATTGTACAGCCGAAGACTTTCAGTAGGAATCCCGAAACGCACTTCCGATCCTCCTCGCCATTCGCGTAGTCGACATCCACAAAACCAACAACAGGGGCGTTATTCGGGCTGCAATGGTAAACCAACTCCAAAAGCCTAGTACCCTGTACGTACCTCAGGACTCTCTTTGCGTGTTGCCAGTGCTCCAGACTTGCTGTGTCTTGAAACTTCGAAAGATACTCGACAATGAAGTACAATTCCGGTCACTTAGTTCAGGATAAGGATGCTCGCACCGCTCGCCGCTTCGTTTCAACTGCAGCCTGGTTTCAGCAGGAGTTTGACATGGTTTGCAGTCGCTCATCCCAAAAACGGTGTAATGCTTCATATTCCTTGTGCACGATCTCGTAGAATCTTGATTCCCAGGAAGTCGTGCAGCTCGTTCATGTCAACCATGTAAAATTCTTGTTTCATCGTTTCCTTGATACCCAATATCGCTTGTATGCTCCGAGCTACGATCAACAGATCATCTACGTAAACAACAATATACACTTTTGCATCTCCTTGCAACATACAGGCAGTAATCGTACCGCGATCGGATGAAACCATACCTTGCCGAAACTTATTGAATCTTGTGTTCCAACATCTTGGTGACTGTTTTAACGCATACAATGATCGCTTCAGCAGACAAACTCTCCCAGGCTTGGTTCTAACTCCATCCGGTACCTGAATGTACACCTCTTCCTTCAATTTTCCGTTCAGAAGGCTGTATGGATGTTCATTTGGTGGATTTCCAGACCTTTGCTGTTCGCAGTAGCCAGAACCGTTCGAATTGTGTTCAGTTTGGCCACTGGAGCAAACGTTTTCTCATAATCGATATTCTTCCGCTGCACACAGCCTTTCAACACTTGCCTTACCTTGTAACGGATTGGATTTCCATCAGCGTCCGTCTTCAACGAGAATACCCATTTGCATGGTAGGGGTACAACCGGATCTGGTTGCTAAATTTCCGGTTCTTCTCCAACGCACTCAGTTCCTCGTCTACCGTTTTGACCCAGCTTGCTCGATTTGGATGGTCAGCAATATCTTTATAGGACACAGGAATCTGAGGAGAATAGTCTACAGCAGAAAATGCGCCATATGACGAAATGACATCTTTGAATCACTAAGGTTTCCTGTCACTCTCGCTTTGGAAGTTACCCCTTTCAAGTTGTGGTGGAAGTGCCATGGCTCCTTCCTCCTGGTTGTCTTGATCATCGAATTCCTCGGTCAAAGAGAAATCATCTGCGAATTGCTCAGTGTTTGCATCAGGATTAACTTTGGGATCATTATCCGGTGTAACTGCGTCTGCATCAGGATCCATAAGAGATGAACCAGCCTCTGGCTGAAAGTCTCCCTAATAAAGATAAACTAACCTAACCTACATCAGGATCAACGTCAGGATTTGTTAATTCGATTTAACTGCCGTATCTTCTTTTCCCCCTTATTGCTCTTGTACTTGAGAAATCACTAACGGAATCTCCCGGTACGCATTGGCTTCCACCTTCCGTGTCGATTTGAACGGAAATTCGATTACATTGAACCGGACATCATGAGCTACGAACTGCTTTCTTGACATCAGATTCCAAAATCGATAGCCATACTGTGCGTATCCAAGCATTACGCAACGTTGGTCAGTAGAATCTAACTTGCTCCGTTTCTGCTTCAGAATCTATGAACATCCAAAAACACGTAAATTTTCGGCTTCTCCGCTGGGCTTCGATTTGCCACATAAACAGCATTCAGCACCGCTTCGCCCCACAGTGACTTCGGTGCTCCTGATTGGACCAATAGAGCTCGCCTTTTTTGCCGTCACAGGGTTGAACCGTTCAGCGTTCAGCTACTCCATTCTGCTGT